TGCTGTCATCAATAGCAGCCTTCACTGAAGCCGTTTTTGGGGAGTGAACCAACATGACAGCATGTCATACAGGGACTCAGACACCCACATGAGCCCCACATCTCAGGGACTCCCCTATTCTCTCCTCTCTAGCTAAATATGCCCAGCACTTACTGTGACTGAACTTTAATATCTGAAAGCAGCAGTTGACTTCTCCCAAAGTCATCTTTCAGACTTCAGGGAGAGTCCTGAATGCTTCACTTTAATGCTAAGCTTCCTGCCTGGCACATGTTCCTAAACGGTGTCTGTGAGGACTGGTGCCCACCTCTCTAAGTGATGAAATAAAAGCCACTCAGCCCTGTCAGAAGAGCCATGCTGACTTTGGAAATCATTCCTTACTACCTGCCAATCTGCTGCACACATTGTGTGACATCTCTTCCTGGTGTGTCTCTTGATCAAACCTGCCAGGAAGCTGTGAGGTTCCTGCTGGCCCAGGAGATTCAGCACGTTAGGCACTTAGTTTCTTGAGTAGAGCAGACTTCTCTATAGCTATTCAGCCACCGAGAGAATAAAACTTCTCTGTACGATTACACTCGTTACATAGTTATTTTCAAACAAGTGACTCTGGTCATTTGAAGGAAATGCAACAAAGTCCCCATCAATTATTTTTTTTTTTTAAGATTTATTTTATTTTCATTGGAAAGTCAGGTTTACAGAGAGAAGGAGAGACACAAAGAAAGGTCTTCTGTCTGCTGATTAACTGCCCAAGTGATCGCAGTGGTTGGAGCTGAGCCTATCTGAAGCTAGGATTCAGCAGCCTCCTAGGGGTCTACCACATGGGTGCAGGGTCCCAAAACTTTGGGCTGTCCTCTGCTGGTTTCCCAGGCCACAAGCAGGGAGCTGGATGGGAAGTGGGGTAGCTGGGACACAAACCAGTACCCACATGGGATCCTGGTGCATGCAAGGTGAAGACTCGAGACACTAGGCTACCATGTTGGGCCCGTTTCCCTCAGGTTTTAATCAATGACAGTTAACTTTTAATTGTATTGCGTCTTACTCCCCTAAACTCTTTCAGTTATAATCTCCCAGCACATTTAATCCCTTTTGGTACACAGAAATGGGTGAGAGGGATATCTACTCATGGTAGGATGCTGCCTCATAATCCTCAAAATCCTGACTGTTCTGCAGAGGAACAGATGAAACTGGTAACCTGGCCAAATCCCACAGAAGCCACGACTCAAACCCAGGCTATGCCTCACTTTCACACCCACCTTCTGGAGGGCACTGCCCCCATGTCTGCTGCATTGGTACCATTTTTGCCCAATGTCCTGTCTGCCCATGGCTCAAATGAGACACTGATATTGGCTCTGAGATTTCCAGATCTGGCAAGTATCAAAACATGACAAGAAAGGTTATTTATGATTTTGAAGCATTTTCTGTCTGCTGAAACCTAAGAAGTCCTGGGAATCTGAGAGGCTTGTAGGGTTTTCCCAATACCCCAGACCCCTTTCCTCCTTAAGAAAGTCATTGTCAGTTTGCTGACACCCAGGTCCTGTTCCACATAAGGAAACCTGATGAACATTTTCAAATTCATCAAGGGGATGGTGTTAATCTCACAATGTCCTGAGCTGTCCAGTTTGGCACCCTGACATGGAAGGGCAGGAAGACACATGTCACTTGGTGGTCCGCAGGGTACCCAGTGCTGGATGAAAGCAAAGTCAACCAGCCAGCTCCTTCCTATTCAGTGCAAAGGCTGGCAGGGTAAAGTTCTGAAACAGCTGCAGGATGGAACCCCTTGGCCAGAAATAACTGCAACAGCATTTAGTGCCAAAGAAATGCTGAAGAAGTGACTGGTTGCCCATCTTCAAGAATCTCTTAACATTGTGTCAGAGACAAAACCCAAATTATGAAACAATACTGCTTGTTAAGGTACAGGGTAGGGGTGAGGCGTCCTCGAAAAAACAACACATGGACTTCAGATTTTCTGTTAACGAAATGAGTTTTTTGATTCCATTTTCCATGAATACTTTGTGCTTCCTACTGGCCCTGTCGAAGTTGGGCTGTTCGGGGCCTCACGGTGGTTTTGCCGTGGCCTCCTGCTGATCCCACAGCTGGGAGCCTGAGTGACAGCTCTTCTCCAAGCTGACAGCATTTCCAGGCTTTCCACTCGATCCCCCTTCTAATCCGCTGCTCCTGTCCATGCTTGGCTCTCCTCTGCAATGGATTCCTCCTTCCAAACTTCTTCACTTTTGTTCATTCTGTTCCCTTTTCCCCAAATCTCTAAAATCTTTGAAGTCTCAGTTCAGGGGGTCCTAGCTTCTAGATTAACTTTTAAGAAGAGCACCCCTTTCAGTCCTTGTTACAACATGCAGAATGGAGTAACTGTCAGGAGTGTAGAGAGTACGGAGACCAGTTCTGATATGATTGCTGCTAACTACAGAAAAATATTTTATTCACCATTTTAGTTTTTAAAAAAAATTTATTTGAAAAGTGTAGATATAAAGAGGGGGAGAGGGAAAGAGACTGAAGTACACAGAGACATAGATGGAACCTTCCACACATTGTTTCATTGCCCAAATGCCCAATGCAGAAGGCAGGGGCTGGGTCAAAGCCAGCAACAACTCACGGTCTCCCATGGGAATGGCAGCACCCAAACACTTAAGCCATCACCTGTTGCCTCCCAGGACTGCACATTAGCAGGAAGCTTGGTCAGAAGTAAGGCTCAGACTCAAACCTAGGAACTCTTATGTAGGAGTCTAACTTCTCAAGCAGTACCAACTCCAGTAATACAGTTTACCTACGAAAAAGGTAAGAATCAGACCTATTCAACAGATTGTTGTGGAGATGAGGTTAATAGGACAATTGCTGGAGTGCACTAAGCACGCAATAAATGCTGCTACTCACAGTTCTGAATGATGCTGTACACTGGAGCCTGTCTCACTTGTCACCTCCAGGGTGTCTGGGGGGAAGGGCTGTCTGTTGATCTGGAAGAGCTCAGGGCGAGCAGAGAGTAGGTGATCGCTAACCACTGTGCCTGGAGTGAAATATTAACAATTTTCTTGGAGGAGGTGGGCAGAGCTGAAGTGACAGAGGGAAAGGCATTCCAGATGGAGCTGCTATTCTCTGCATGCAACACAGGTAGCAGAAGCGGCTTGGATGGGAGGATGACCCCACAGTGAAACAGGGAGGAGAGCAAGGCTAATGAAGGGAGCGAACTGAGGACATCCTGACATGTTTCCTCAAGGGGCGGTTGGAGAATGCCTGGTGGCAGGGAGCCCGGGGTCGGAACATACAGTGATTATCCCTTGGTAGCTGTAATGACTATTACCCCCACACTGTTTCCCTCCAAAAGAAAAGGCAATTTTATCATCACAAGGAGGCCACATTTTTTTAATTGAAAACTGAATTTCTGCATACACACAGTAATGCATAAATTATAAGTGGATCAACAATTATATTAACAGTACAAACTCATATGGCATTTACATAAAATTACTGCTCTAGGTTGTGGAACATTTTGTGCCAGGTACTTCAGAAAACAAGACAGAAAATAAAGAACTCAGCTACTTTTATGAGATCAGAAAAAGCATCTATGTTACCTAACAGAATCCTTCATGTGTCAAACTCAGGACAATCAATAAACTAAATTGGAAAAAAGGAACACTTGAAAAGTTGGTGATGCTGGTCTGGCATGGTAGCTTAGTGCTAAAGTCCTTGCCTTACACATACTGGGATCCCATATGGGCGCTGGTCCTAATCTCAGCAGCCCCGCTTCCCATCCAGCTCCCTGTTTGTGGCCTAGCAGAACAGTAGAGGATGACCCTAAGCTTTGGGACCCTGCACCCACGTAGGAGACCCAGAAGTAGCTCCTGGCTCCAGGCTTTGGATTGGCTCAGCTCCAGTTATTGCAGCCACTTGGGGAATGAATCTCTGTATATCTGACTTTCTAATAAAAAATAAATAAATCTTAGAAAAAAAGTTGGTGACGCAATGTTAGGTTAAAAACACTGTTGAGAATGTTAGCGACTGGACTTTGGGGCCAGAGAGTGTCCTCCTGTTTGGCAATTGTAATTAAAGGCTCTGGGTTCTGCTTCCTGATTGCTACCGCCTTCTAAAGCGTAATTCTGAGTCACTGTGCAGTCTTCCCTGCTTGCGTAAATTACTCTTCACAAGTTTTAAACAAGATGGTGATTCACGTAACAGTTTTAAAGTAAGATTCTTCCCACTCAAAACGAAATGAAGAAATTCTACCAAAAAGCTGATCACATGAAGGGCTTGGGCCAACAGTTTCCTTGAACAACTGACTAAAAGTATAGAACAAAGTAATTACCTATAGGGAAGGATAGGGATTCTACAGTGTGATAGCAAGAGAAAAACCCTGGGGGCACTCATGGGGTCCTCAGAAAAAACCCATGGGGGTGCTGTGGGGACTGGTTGGTTTGAAATGGTTCTTTAACCAAAAAACCTTCAGTGGGTTCAAGAGCCCCTCTTTGAGCAGACAATTGGTGGCAAAATAAATGGATTAAGAAACGGGTTGATCAAGCTTTTTCTCACCTTTGCTATAATCAATTCGATGAGAATAGAGCTAGCTATTCTGTACTGCACTTCAAGGCAGTCTGCCCAGTACTGCTGTAAGGAGAGAGAGGCGGCATCCAATGGAGACAATTTTGATAACAATGGAAAAAGGCTGTAACACATCATCATGTTGCTTCCAGCAGCCTAGAATTTTGGCTGCTGACTTTTGAGAGCTGTCAATCTGGTTGGAGTAGCGCTGAGGGAGATGGCCAGGCCACCGCTTGATGGACATGTGAAAGTACATGCCTGCAGGTCCATTTCCTGAAGTTCCCAAAGTGGCAGCATGAAGGACACTGGTTCTGACGAGTACAGAAGGGACAGGTCACAGGCAGGTTCCTTACTTTACCAAGCAGAAAATGATCCAAAGAGCGCCTGTGTTTTGGGTTCTGTTTTCTACAGAGCACACAGCTCCCACTTCTTCCGCGATCTAACAAAATGGCTTCATCTTCAAAATGCATTGCTTTATTCTCCCCACGAGGCAGCCACACGTTACAGACCCAAAGCACGTGCCAGTCACATGAATTCGTCAGTAAGCCCCAAGGATGCATGCGCTTTCCTGGAGCTTTCGCCCAGAGGAGTCCTGAGGTCTCAAATATTAAAGCTTTCTCCACAGCCACAAGTTCCTTTGATGTTTGGGTTATTGAACACAAACTCGCTGGATAATTTGTCTTCAACATAGTCCATTTCAGTTCCTAAAAGTGTCAGCTGTGCTTTCTTTTCGATGAACACTCTGACTCCTTGGGGAAAAGAAGATACGTGTCATACAAGCTGCAGCCTGTGGATCCTGCTCGTTCAAAGCCCGACTGAACTTTAAATAGAACACACCAACAAAAGTCAAGCAGGAAATTTGCACAGGTTCACGATTTCCTTAAAGGGATGAAACACTCTGTTTCCTGTCCACCCCTCTTTCCCACACATTCATCTGTGGCAAAAACAATCACATTAGGGCAGATGTTTTACACAGGCAAATTCCATAACTATGGGCAAAACTACAGTTTCTCTTTCACCCTTTCATTCATTTGTAACATGAAGAAAACATACATTCTCAGCAACAGTTTTGTAAAGACTGAGTCAGGAGCATCTATGAACATCCTGTACCAACATCTACATACTTGACTCACTGCCCCACCTAAGGACAACGGACTGCGACTGAATGGGGCTACTGGAGGGGGACGTGCTGGCACTACGATGGTTCTGTACTGTGTAGCATATCCTACTGGCTATGTCGGTGGGAGTCGGCATCTTCACAAACACAACTGGTTTAAGAATGTTTTTATTCCTTGTAAGAAATGGAGTCATTACCTAAACATAAACTACATGCACATTAGCATCTCAAGTTGAAAATATGAAGCTTTATGATACTTGATGAGTTGATTGTAAAAGTAGCATGTTAAGCAGGCCTTTCCTGGTGGTACCCCAGCATAGCACACTCCCAGCATCCGTTCCCTGCCCTACCAGCAGCGGCAAGCGCTGTCAGAGAGCTGTGGCACTGCACCATGGCAGAGCCACCACTGTAAGCCCCTGGGCGCTCATGTTCTCGCATTGCTGTTTCATGGTTTATCTCATACACTTTATGAGATTATTGCATGGAGACAGAAGATGTGGAAAATATAACTGAAGAAGTAAAATTTTCAATAAATCGCAAATGAAGAAATGCCTCAAAGCATGAGCAGGTATTACTGATTGGAGAGTCATAAAACTGTCACTTCGCACAGATAGGTGGTTGCCTTTGAAGTTGTACACTCAGAAAACCTTTGTGGACATGATGATCCTGCACAGCCAGAACAAACGAGCTTACCCAATACCAGTCAGCAGCAGCAGAGCCTCTGGGCAGCACTGACTGGCTCCAATCCTGGCCTGTGTGACCTGAGGCAGACTGCTTAACTTGTTCGTGCCTCAGTTTCTTCCTCAGCCACAGTAGGACAAAGGGGCCGCTCCTCTCCTGGTGGCTGTATATATCCATCAGTTATGACAGCCAGTCAGTACCAAGCACACATGCTGAGTACTGCTTAGATAGCCAGGAAACTTGAACTTTACCACACATTAATCTGTCTCGAAAACAATCGCACCAGGAAAGACAGTTTTACACAGGTAAATTTTCTGACAATGTTGAGCAAGACTAGAGCTGTGTCTTTAACTCCTTCCAATCTGCAATATAAAGAGAGTGCACACATTCTCCTGGTATTACTGCTCATATCTTCCGGTTGGGCAAGCTAAACATGTTACACAAAACAAAGTGCTCTGAAAAAGTCTGCTATAAACTTACCATCCTGGACGACTTCTTCATCAGAATCTCCTTTCGTCTTTGTGTACTCTAGAGTGTAAGAAAGACCATTACAGCCCCTGGTTCGGACGCCTACTTTTACACCTACCTGGAAAGAATTAAAATATAAACTTTAGTTTTATGCTACAATAAAAACCTGGCTGTTGAACATTATTTTATAATAAGTGAAAAGATAATTACTAGATTTCTTGGCTATAAAATATGTCCCTATAGACAATACAAAATAATCGGGAACAAGCTATTAAAAATTTATTTGTACAGGTCCAGGCGCAGTGGCCTAGCGGCTAAAGTCCTTGCTTTGAGTGGGCCAAAATCCTGTATGGGCGCTAGTTCTAATCCCGGCAGCCCCTCTTCCCTTCCAGCTCCCTGCTTGTGGCCTGGGAAAGCAGTCGAGGACGGCTCAAAGCCTTGAAACCCTGCACCCACGTGGGAGACCCGGAGAGGCTCAGGGCTCCTGGCTTTGGATTGGCTCAGCTCCAGCCATCGCAGCCACTTGGGGAGTGAATCATCAGAAGGAAGATCTTCCTCTCTGTCTCTCCTCTTCTCTGCATATCTGACTTTCCAATAAAAGTAAATAAATCTTTAAGAAAAATTTAATTGTGCAAACATCCTTTAATAGTACAAATACCAGTAGGGATCCAAAAAAATAAAAAGCAACTACACACAAACAATACAGTGCAAAAACCAAAAACAATCCTCCTACACTAAGTCCTACCATAACAAAACAGCCTGTTTCACCCCTGGTGCCTTCCAGTGCCATGAGATACATAATCTGAACGTAAGTCTCATTATACCAGGAAAGGCATCTGATTCACTTTTCACCACTTTCTTTTCCTGTGATTAGCTTCCATAATTATCATTGGCAGGCACTGTCCATGTGCACCAGTGCATGGGTATTATCCAACTCTCAGGTTTTTGTTTTGGTTTAGATTTACTTATTTTGATTGGAAAGGCAGTTATAGACAGAGGCTAGACAGACAGAGAGCTTTCCATCTGCTGGTTCAATCCCCAAATTGCCAGAACAGCTGAAAGGGCTGGTCCAAAGCCAGGAGCTTCTTCTGGGCCTTCCATGTGGGTGCAGGGGCACAAGGATTTAGGGCAGACTCCTCTGCTTTCCCAGACCATAAGCAGGGAGCTGGATCAGAAGCAGAGCATCCAGGACTCAACCTGGTATAGCAGGTAGCTTACTATGCCATGGCACTGGCCTCACTTTTATTGATTTTTAAAATTTTATTTATTTGAAATGCACAAAGAGAGAAGAAGAGACACAAAGAAACCTTCATTCCACTGGTTCACTCCCTAAATGGCTGCAAGGCCTGGACCACATCGAAGCAAGGAGTCAGGAACTTCTCTAGCTTTCCCTGTGGGTATGGTTGGGCTGTCCTCTACCACTTACTAAAGTGCATGTGAAGAGAACCAGACTGAAAGTGGAGCAGCAGTCCGTGCTCATGTGGAGCACCAGCACCACAGGTGGCAGCAGTTTAATCCACTTTGTAGAACAGCCCCCCAAAATGAGATTTTCTTAAAACTCTTTTTTTTTTGCTCTACCTCTCTTGAGATGTTCTCTGAAAGTCTACCAAAGGTTGCGGTTCCCCAAGTTCTTCAGGCCTTCACCTGCCAATCATATTACATCCACGAGGGACTAAATAGTAGGGTTGACCTGCATAATATTCTGGAATACCACAAGGCAGATCTACACTGATCTAAGAAGTTAAAAAGGTGTCCAAACAACACTTCAAAAATGCCAGCACAGGGCTTGGCGCAATAGCCCAGTGGCTAAATCCTTGGCCTTACATCTGCCGGGATCACATATGGCTGCTGGTTTGTGTCCCAGCTGCTCCACTTCCCATCCAGCTCCCTGCTTGTGGTCTGGGAAAGCAGAGGATGGTCCAAAGTATTGGTACTCCGTACTAGTGTGGGAGACACAGAAGAAGCTCCTGGCTTCTGGCTTAAGATCAGCTCATCTTTGGCCACTGTGGCCACTTCGGGGGTGAAGCAGCGAATGGAAAATCTTTCTGTATATCTGTCTTTCCAATAAAAAGAAAAAAAACCTCAAAAAAAAATGCTAGCACATTTCACATATCTAACTTATTATCTCTGTAAGGAGGAAGTAAAATTCCAAATGTAAGTGGATACAAATAGTTAAGCATATATGAAAATATAGCTACAGTTAACTGCAGCTTAACAAAGGGGCTGTTCATATCTTAACTTTCACCTTTTCATGTCAGTACAACAGAAACAAGTATGATTACTGGAAGTGGATAGATCTGGACTGCTCAAATCTACCAAGCTAAAATCACTTTTATGGTTTATACTGTGGCCATTATCTGAACAGAATTGGGACACACAAAATCCTTGTGTGTTCACCCCTGAGAAAGGATTCCTGTGCCGTCCTTTTTTAATGCACATGAAAACTTAGACATTGGCACTGTGGCATGGCCGGTAAAGCTGCGGTCTGCAGTGCCAGCACCCCATATGGGCACCAGTTTGAGTCTTCACTGCTCCACTTCTGATCCACCTTCCTGGTAATGGGCTGGGCAAGCAGCAGAGGCTGCTCCAAGTGCTTGGGCCCTGCACCCACACAGGAGACTCAGAGGAAGCTCCTTGGCTTTGTTCTGGCACAGTCCAGGCCATTGTGGCCATTTGGGGAGTAAACCAGTGACTGAAGGATCTCTTGCTGTGGCTTTGTCTTTTAAATAAACAAATACATCTTAAAGAAATCCAGAAAAAAATATCAGTAGCCATTCCAAGTCTAATTATAAAGCACGGATAGTCCTTAATGAAGTGACAGGCAGCATTCTACCAGCAGTTAACAAGGCACTATAATAAAGATGACACACACATCTCCAGCTTAACAATCCCATCGCCAGGAACAGCTCCTAGCAGGAGCACAGGCTTGGAGATCTAGAACAATGGGCCCAATGTACTACAGTCACTAAGCTAATAGCTGCTGCTGTTTGTGGCAGCACTGACTATAAACAAGCCTGGCTGATGAAATTAAGCCTGCTCATAGAAGGTGCTACACAGCCACAAGAAAAGGAGGCAGATCTGTATGGAAAGATTTTTGAGCTACATCGTTAGGGGTCATCACCAAAGTGTAAAACCAGCACATACAGTGTGCTCTTACTAAAGGACGAAAAGGCAGACGTAGGAGCAACCGCACAGCCTGGCTCTGTCACAACTCAGGGAGAGAGGTCGTGCGACTGGCACCTGGTGGGCAGAGATGTCACACGGGACATAACACCACCCTTCCAAAGCATGAAGGGGCCGGAGAAGTTCCTGTCTACACAGATGGCCAAGAAGCGGGTTCCTGGAGAGTGAACGGCAGCAGAATGGGTGAGAGCGACTTGCTTTTCATTCAGTGTCTCTTTAAAAAATCACAAGCATATTCTATGTTTTAACTAAAAATTTCTAATTAACAAAATTATACTGTCATCTTGAGACAAATTCATTCTGGAAATACAGTTTCAGTTCTCTCCTTGCTTTACTTACATGCTCAGGCTTATCCTTAAGAAGTTGTTTTATCTTGTTTACTGCTGAAGGTGTCTGAAAAAGAAAATGTTTGGTTTTTAGTTATAAAACTTGGATTTGGGGACATTCCTCACCAGCTTGTCTCTGGTGCTTCCAATGGCCAAAGAACACTGCTGCCTCACCCTTGGTGACCTCGGGGCCTGATGGCAGGCCTAAACCCCAAGAGATCAACTCTCATTTTCACATCAAGAAAAGGCTATAATGCTATCATGGTATCAAAACTTTGAGAATCTGAAAAAAAATCTAAGCAGCATCTAATTAATTGTTAATGTTGATAGTATGGTCACTGTGTCCTGGACTACCTAGAGACCCAGATAGGTAATTGTAGGCTACATTCATTGAGCAAGAACAGCTATCCTCCTTAAATTTCAGTTGAGGACACAGTGAGCACTGCCTCTGCTTTCTTTCTTTCTATTCCTGTGCAACTCCTGGCAAATTCTAATATGTGATATATTCAAAACATGGAATTCTTGTTTGATTCCAGAGGTTGCCAAATGAATAAGTAATATGTTCATACTGAAAAAAAAAACCTTGGATTCTTCAGAGCTTTGTATTTACGTGTGTTTAAGACTACTCAGCTACCTCCAGCAAATTCATACAATGAATTTATGTTCCACTGTCATAGGTACCTAAATGGATTTTTCACTTACACGTGAACTAGACTCTGTTCAGAGCACTCTATCTGCAAGTCCTTTAGATCTTGCTCCCCTGACCAGGTAAGTTCTTTACTGGAATCTCTGCAGTGTTATGCACGTCATAAAGGTAATTTTTCTGAGCAACATCTATTGTGCACACCACATTGTGCCCAGCCACAGCACACCGTCTGACACACAGAAGACCTCACAAATGCTGCATGGTCAACTCTGGGAAAACCAAACTGCACATGCTGCTTTAGTTGACTATTATCTCCTTTTTCACTTTAGACTCCATCTACGTACGGCTGGAGCAAACAGTGACCAGCATAAGGGAACTTGGGGTGTGCTTCTCACTGTGCTACCATGTGCTCCTACAGATGTTCCACATGAATGGATCAATGCCTTAGGACATCCTGACGCAGCCGAGCTGGGGGCTGCTCTGCAGCCAGCCTGGAGCTCCTTAAAGGAGAATGCCATCATGGCATGTAGTGAGTGTACGGGTTTGGTGTGACTAATTCCACTTTTCCAGGGGCCAGAGCCCCCCCCCTTTTTTTTTGGTAAAATGGGGATAACAGTCTCTTCTCTCAAAAGGATTAAGTCTTGGAATTCGTTAAAACTATTCATGACAGTACTTGCACAGAGGTGCCAGAATATGGCAATGAAAAAGGGACGTCATTCCTGCCTTCTGTTACATGGGCTCCTCTAGCTAGCAATAGTGAACTGGTTCTGGGAATGGGGAGTTAAAAACTGACATTCTACTGGAGTGTGCAGTCCCAAATCTGGCTGTTAGGATCTAACTTGGCAGTAAATTGTAGCCAGAACTCAGACCTGTGTTAGGAAAACAGAACCAGTAGATGATGGCATGGCCCCAGAATGTGCTGTTCGTGCAGGACCAGCCAGATGAGAACGTTCAAATACAGTTGAACCCAATTAGCAAGTGTCACAAAACCAGTTTACAAGGCTGAGATAGACATTTAAAATAAAATAAAACAACAACAACAAAACAAACCAGAAGAGAAAGCAGGCCTTATATCAGGTACAAGTTCCTGTACCTGTAAAGCACCTGTAACTTGACACTTGTCAAGTTCCTGTAAAATGTTTAGTGAAATTTTCATTTTAGTGTTTACTATTGTGAGTGTGTACATATTTCTTGTCTGTTACTGTAAAGAAAAAGATTTAATGAATTATTACCAGCAAGTGTCCCCTAACGGCTTTCCCGCACAGTTCTACAAGAAGGGAGGCAAGCAGCCGCCAACATGGGGCACAAGGGGGCACATGGGGGCACACGGGGACAGCAGCACACGCTCAGGAACAGTGAGGGTTCCTTTAATTTGCCAAGGTCACAGAACAGCAACCTCAAATAGTTACAGAAATGGAAAAACACATTTTTCTTAAGTGGCTGTTTATCCTTCTAAATGTCTGGTAGTAAGTCAGCTTTCTTCCATTTGTAAATTTTTGTGGTCATAGCTTCCTGTATGAGTGCTAAATTGAAAAAAAAATATTCTGACAAGTTAGGGAAAGGCAAAGGCAAAGCATGGGAAACTTAGTTGGAGCTAAAATCCGAGGGGTAATCCTGGCTTAACCTTGGTTTACCGTGGTCAGATCAAGATGCAGGAGCGCCACAGACATCGTGGCTCTCACCCTACTTCACATACCTGCCCCAAATCATTTTATCTCCCAACAGTGTTCTGAAGTATCTCATTTAGTTTTTTAAGATAATATATTTTCTTCTTTTCTCAATGCTTAACAGAAAGCATTTAACACAGGGAAGAAAGTGGTTCGCGAAGAAAGGGCCACTAATCCCAAAGCTGCTTGTGATCACAGCCTTCAAAAGCACTTAATGGAAAAAGGGAAGCTCTCTGCCTGGAACTCCAATTGCATCTCAGTTTTCCTTTGCCAAGCAAAACCCAAATATACTTCCTAGGACGAGCGCTACTTAACCTAGGCAGAGATGGCTGTTAACCACCTCCACGTGACTGACCTGACTGGCTGAACAAATAAATGAGAATGACTGAGAAGGGAAGGTGTGGACCCTTCACCGCTCAGGGTCTGGCTGCCCTCCGACAGCAATGTTCTAAGTTATGCTACCGTGACTCATGTATAATTAATGACTTTCTAGCTAATGTAAGGTTTTCATTTTTGATGTGAAAGTTAAAATTGCCAAAATGCATTGCGACACAGTTCGCAATATATATGCATGTATATGTATACATAAAAATAATCAGAGCAGCATGACTCTTGAGAGTCTTCTCATATTTTGTAACAAAATATTATGGCTAAAATTATGGGAAAAAGTATTTTAAATGAATGTATCTTATAACTACACAGGAATGCGTTTTACCTTATCAGATGCCATGTGCTTTGTATTCCCTGTAAGAAAAACTTCTCATCCTTAATTTCATATTTCCGTAAGTAATCCCAGGTTGCTTTTCATCTTTGGCTGTTCAAGTAAACATACTGGAACTGATGCTAACTCCATGATTATGCACCCTTCATGTGTGTCACCAACTTAATACCTGTAGGAAATCGCCACTGCCTGCAACCTGGTGGGCGTCACCCAGAGCTTACCGGTCCTGGTCTCAGGTGCAACTTCCAGCTCTGTATGCAGGATTAGGTGTGCCTTTTATCCAATCACAGTGCCACTGGGTGAAGGCCCTCTTACCCCTCCTTTTCTTAAACCTTTATAAACCTGGAACTTGGGTTGAATAAAGGGACATTCCTCACCAGCTTGTCTCTGGTGCTTCTTGCAGCTGAAGTGACCTCGGGGCCTGCTGGCAGGTCTAAAGCCTGAGAAGTATCATAAATCTAGCATTGTTAACATCCAAAGATGACAGATAAACAGCAATCAATGAGTCAACTTCAGCACACATTGCTAAAATCACACTCTCAAAGTGGCAGCATCTACCTTTACATAGATGCACAGTGTACATACACACGTCCGTGTACACGACACACATGTATAGCTCTGTAGCATTAATCCTGTGCTTTTCAATATTGAAGATTCAAACAACGTGCATAGGGCTGCTGAGTCAAAGAATGAAGTTTTGACTCACAAACTTAGAAAAGATTCATCTACAGTGACTACATAACATCCCGCCAGCAGCACCTTCCCTAACACACCATTCTGAGATGCCCAGGGATCTGGTCCTGGGAGTGACCTCACCCATCCATCTTCCTGTGTGTGTCATTGCGCCTAAGGCGTTCCGTTCCTAGTCCAGTTAATCAACAGTTCCTTATTCAATATTAAGCATTTTCTAGTGCTTCTCAACCAGTTTCCACCACAAGTGCAGTCAGGGGCAGCCACCACACACGCCAAGTTAACTTCTCTCTGGGCACTTGAACTGCATTTGTTCTGACCCATCCCTCTCTCACAGGATTTGTGTTTTATGCACTAAGTTTGACTTGCACAATGAAGGAAATTAAGTTGTCTGCTGTCAGGGTAGTGATGAACCTTTACACTTTTTACCTTATTCTGTGTGTCAAGTTCAGCAGCTAGGGGGCATTGGGGAAGGAGACAACCACGAATTTGGGAATTTCTCTGTAGATGCCCAAGGGCATCCACACTGATGCCTACCCAGGACCTCAAGGAAGCTATGAACACACACAGCCCATTGCTGCCTGAGCCCTTCTCTCCAGCAAGTCAACAACCCCTTCCATGACCAGCGCTAGCTCAGGAAGCCCAGTTGGGGCTGACAACGTTGCATCTCCTGGCCATGCTGTCATCAGTTCCTCTGCCTAGTCTCTTCCTGATCCCTGGCAGAATCCACACTGGAAAGCCTTTTACTAATGCTGTAACATGTCAGATTCCCGCTGTCAGAATTTACACATGCAAGGAAAGTTTACCTCTTCTCACCAACTTTTATTAACCTTTACTTTGGTTTGCTCCTGTCCCCACGCACGAGATCCTTGATCACTGCTTTCACACTTAACACGAATGTGTTAGGGTTAAAAACGTTTGCAAAACACCAGCAAGCGAAGCACAGACAGCAATGTGTGTCCTGGATTTGTGAGACCAGGGTCCATACGCTCGGGCTAAGGTGACTGTTGGTTCAAGTCCACAGGCATGGTGGAAAGTAGCAGCGATGTGCTTTTTCCCCCTCCTGCACAGGAGCTTTGAAAAGCAGTCTTAGGGTTAAGCAGGATGCTGCAGCAGGCAACACAGAGCCTCTGCAAGCCTCCGAGTGCTGTGACAACCGGTAATGAAATGGAAAGGAACAAGGGAGGAGAGACTATACCTAACAAAGTGGGGTCTCTTATTATTTCTGGAAGAATGTGAAAAGGAACAGTGTAAAACCATGTCCCTGGAGGCTGGCAACTGGGTAACTCTTGTAGCAGTCATGTTTCCTGTCTCCACACAGCAGGGCCCGATGAACGGGAAAGAAAGGGATGACTTGAGAATTTTGAATTCTCAAGGTACTCCATGGTGATGAAATGGCAAAAACCCTGCCCCAGTCCCCTCCGACTTGTTCTGACCAACCCCGGATGAATTCTGAATTTCCACTCAGACGGAAAGACTCAGAAAATGAGTGTTGTCTTCATCCTCCAGACCTTGGGAAATCCTAGGTTACACGGGGCGTCTTTAAACACAAAAACGGTAACCCCAGGGGCCTGAGACAGGGACGTAGTACAGCACCTTCCTCTCCCTGGCTGTGACTCATTTCCTGACACAGGTTTTCTTAGGACAACTCTCCAGAATGTTCCTTCAGAATCAAACGCGCGCGTGCGTGACAACATTCACAGCACACGAGCTTTCCCTGTGTGTTTTGTAACTACCCCGGGGTGGTGGTGGTGGTGACGGTTGCACAACACGCCGTGCAGGTCCTGAAGGACACACCGTCGTACCCTTCGGAACGGTTCCCTTCACCCCGTGCGGATTCTGCCCCGCGTGAGAACACCCAGCGGGGCCGCAGCCTTCGAGAACCCGCGGCGAGGCCTCGGGCGCCCTGAGGGTAAACCCGAGCGAGCCCGAGGCGAAGACCCCTCGCCCTTTGTGCCCCGCAGGGCCCCTCGCCCCCGCGGCCTCGCTCCCGCCCGCGGACAGCGGCTTTGTGAGCGCGGCGCCCGCACCCCCGCGGCCCCACGCGCCCCGCACGCGCCGCACGGCCTGCCGGGAAACGTAGTTCCGGGGGCCGGGGTCCCCGCAGCCCCGCCCGCGCTTGTTTATCCTCACCGCCGCCTCGGGGGGCTGCGGGGACGGCGGCGGCGAGGCGCTCAGCCCAGCGGCCCCGGCGCCTGGACGTGCCCTCCGCCTGCCCTCCGCCTGCCCCGCCGCAGTGACCTCCCTCGCCGAGGGGACACGGGCCAATGTCACGCGCCCGTCCTCGCGCCGCGGGCACTCACCAGGGTGAGGGCGGCCCGGGTGGGCTGCAGCTTCCTCTTGCTCACAGCCCGGACGGTGGCACGGACTAGCGAAGCCGACATCTTGGCAGTCGCGGCGCGCCCCCCCCCCCGCCCCCGCTGCCTCGGGCCCGGGCTCGGACACCTCAGCCTCTCTCCATGGACACGGCGGGCGCGTTGACGCCACGAGCTCCGCCCTCGCCCGCAGACCCGCCCCCGCCGCCGCCATTGGGCCGGCCGCGTGAGTGACGGGCGGGGGCGGGGACGGCGTCCACTGCCCGGGGCGGAGTCGGCGCGGCTGCGCTCGGGGCTTGGGGACGCGGAAGGGAGGCTGGCCGGCCCGGGCAGCGGCTGTTGTCAAGGGCCGAGTGGCCCGGGCTCCTGGCAGGACGGCGCTAATAGGCCCAGCTGCAGGTCCGCCCGCGCCTTAGCCGTGGAGGCTGCCCCGGAGCGAGCGAGGTCGAGCGCAGTTTCCCTCCTGGAGAGGAAGTTTGGAGGCCTGAGCACCACATTGAATACTCATATTTAGGACCTGTACCTATCAATAACGTTGATGGCGCACCTCTTTGTCAGACCAACGCTGCTCAGGGACCTTTTGGCGTGCCAGTCATGGAACTAGGGGAACAAATTTTGGAACTTGGGAAAACAGACACCCTGGGAGGATTAAGGGCAGTGAGGTTAGCTGATGGAACTGTGGGACCTGTAGCTTATTTTAATGCAGTTGAAGAGCTCGAAGGACAAACAGGCGGGGTTCTGTGGAGAGGTACTGGGGCACAGAGCCCTAGTGTATTTGACCTGGTGTCTTTTTGTTAAACAGTGCAGTTTATGTTTGCCACCCTAAAACCTTGTAGAGTGCCAGGTACCCAGTTTTCTTCTCTGTTTCAGACTCAAACTGAGACCTGGTGAAGAACCCCTTTGGGACATATACTAGAAATCGGTATGGCTTTTATAAAGCTCAAGCACAAGTCTTCAGGTAGAATGTATTTTGGTATTTTAGAAAGCCAGGCCTAGGGCCACAGTAACCTAGTGGCTAAAGTCCTCACCTTGCATGCCTGGGATCCCAGCTGCTGCACTTCCCATCCAGCTCCCTGCTTGTGGCCTGGAGAAGCAGTAGAAGAGGATTGAGCCTTGGGATGCCACACCCGTGTGTGAGACCCACAAGAAGCTCCAGGCTCCTTGCTTTGGATGGGCTCAGCTCCAACTAATTTTTTTTTAATTGCAGCTATTTGGGGAGTGAACCAGAGGATGGAAGACCTTTCTGTTGCTCCTTCTCTCCGCAAATCTACCTTTCCAATAATAATAAAAAAGAAAGTAAAAAAAAAAAAATTTAGGCCTAGAGCTGGGAGTGAGTGGGGGAAGGTATGTGGAGCAGCGCTGTTAGGTTGCTGCCTGTCACTTGGGGAAGTTCCACAAGGAAGTCTGAGTTCATCCAGGCTGCTCCAACTGCAGTCCAGCCTCTTGACGCACATGGGGAAGCAGTGGAGGATGATCCATCTGCCTGGGTCCCTGCCGCACTATGGGAGACCTGGATGGAGATCCAGGATCCTGGCGGTGGTCTGACTCAATCTGAACATCCTGGCCATTTGCAGTTAGTCAACTGATGGAAGAAGTGTCTGCCTCTGACACTCTATCAAATAAAACTTAAAAATCCACCCCAACCTAGTCTTAAATTTCCTCAGTGCCCGTAAGTCTTCTCTCAACTCAATACACTGTTCATCAGTTTTTGTACACAGACATTAAGTTATTTCATCTATTTGGCAGAGGCTTTGGCATACCTGATGTCATGTCAGACTGCTAGGTTCTCCTGATTGTTAAAAATATGTGACTTTTAATCTCAGAGCAGCAGCTGAGAATGGAAATGTGCTGAAATGGGGGCAGGTGTGACCTGCAGATGCTGAAGAACTTGCAGGAAGGAAGCATCCAATGCTGCTCTTTTGGATCTGTTTTTGGTCTTGGCACATCTTTAAAAAAGATTTATTCTTATTGCAAAGTGGGATTTACAGAGGAGAGACAAAAAGCCCTTCCATATGCTGGTTCGCTCTCCAAGCAGCTGCAACACCCAGAGCTGAGCTGATCTGAAGCCAGGAGCCCGGAGCCTCCTCAGTTTCTCCCACACATGTACAGTGTCCCAAGGCTTTGGGCTGTCCTCTACTGCTTCCCCAGGCCACAAGCAGGGAGCTGAAAGGGAATTGTAGCAGCTGGGACACAAACCAGTACCCGTATGGGATGCTGGCACTTGCAAGGCAAGGACTCCAGTCACTAGGCTGTTGTGCTAGGCCTGGTCTTGGCACTTTAAGAATGAGGTTCTAGTATGACTTCATTTGACCCCCGTGACTGTGGAGACAGGTAGGATTTTAGTATCATAGGAATGGGAACTGGACTGCTCCAGCTTAGCTTGATAAAGACAGACCCCGTAAGTCTGCCCCACTTAGTGAAAAGTGCGCATGGTTCTTGACGGCTGCTGTGTAAAGCATGGGCTTCCTTCAAACCAAGTACCAGGAACATCTTTACAGCGTTTGGGGGCACAGGGGTTGGGGTTGGGAAGGATTGTTAAAATTCTGTTTTCAAATGGCTGTTTCCCCTCTAACACTATGGTCCTAATAGGGTTTTATTTGTGATTTTTTCCCACTTGGGAAAGATTTTTTTTTCATAGAAACCATGTGTGACTTACATGTCACTATGAAATAAGCTGAAGTTACCTAACAATTTCAGAAACATCTTCAAGCCTGCCCACAGTTGATACTGGTATTTACAAAGTGTAGCTAAGGGCTACTAGGAGACTGCAGTAAGAAATAGATGCCGTATTTTAATTTGTTTCTCAGGCGGCAGCAGCAAAGAGAGCCTTGGCAGCAGGGTGTGGGTGGAGCCTGTCCAGCTGCACTTGAAAGATAGCTACTCCCTGGGAGTTGGGCTTGGGGCGACCTGTGCTCTGGCTGGGGCACTGCAAAGGGGCTGGGAGCTGCACCCAAGATCAGAAGCAAGGGCAACCTATGCTCACTCTCACCTAGACCCACTATGGGAATGTAAAATAATACTGATAGTTTAAACAAAATCTCGCCTAAATATTATGGGAATAATCAAATGTAGAGGTCACAATACACAGGAAACAGCATCCTTAAAAAGATGCAAAAAAACATGGTGTGTCTGAGACACAAAGAATATAGTCATTTCAAGCAGTGAGAGGCAAGTGGAGGGTAGGCAAAAAGCGCAATGACAAATTCTTAGCAAAACACCAAGCCTCACCATGACAAACTCAAGCCTATCACTGTGGAACCCAAACTTGAGTACTTCTCTGTCTACCAGGGAAGCAAAGAGATAGGCTAATGCTGGGAAGTGACTCCAGTATTTGAGGGACAAAAAAAGGTCAAAAGCATGATTATCTCCCAAACTGGGAAAAGGGGGGAGGGGTACTTTTGAATTTACTTTGTGTCAGACAAGTCACTAGTGAAGCCATCCATGGTCCTACTCAGCTACAGTGACAGTCACAGAAGCACCCAAGCAGAAAAATACCTACAAGGAAAGAGCTGGGCTGCTTGCAGGCTTCTGTTAACACTAAAAGACAGCATCAACAGGCGGCTTTTCAAAGCGCAGCCCCAGCCCTGGCCACTGTCATGCCCGAAGAGCAGCCGCTGAGGAAAGTGACGTAAGGCCACTGCGTCAGCCCAGGTTGCACAAAGCGGGGGATGGGGAGGCTGTGTTCAAGCTGAGCGAGGAACCATCACCCATTTCCTCTTTGCCAGGACTTTTGCGTTCTAGTTCTTCATTTTCCTTCAGTTCTTCTTTAGCTGGAACAAGTCTTCACGTACTTTTGTAAACAGGTCTGTAGTGTTGTCCCAGTTCCCTCAGCAGGGTGTGCAGGCCGGGCAAGCACCTGCCGCACCCCTCAGGGTTGGTGTCTGTGGTGCATTCTCAGTGGCTGGCATAGGGGGGCATGTCACAGGGAACTGCACAGTCTGACTTACTGAGGGGCAGCCGATGGCTATCTTTCCTCCTTGGCTTTTGTTCCCAATGTAATTGAAGACTTTTTCACAAGAAAATAAAGTGGATAGAATTACAGGTTGAAATTGTGATTTTATTTCAAAATCATAAATAAATGGGGCATAGTTCTGACCATGTACTACTTCTGAAAGGCTTGTGAAGTTAGAGAAACAGTTCCAGCAGGACTCCAGTCAGACCCAGATGACACCGACCCATTTGAGGTTGGCAGAGGACGATCTCTTTGCCCGTCAGGGATTCATAAAAGCTCTCCACCCTAATGTCTGAGCGTCATATATGGTAAAACGCGGTTTTGCCGCTTTTCCTTTGAAAATGTTTGAGTGGCAAACAGGACTGCTTGTCTTTCTGACTTCATCTTTATGAGCACAGTAGTTCTCTATCAGACAGGGAGAAAGGCAGAGGTGTCCAGGCGCCCTGCTCCCCCTGCCAGCTCATGGCAACAGCTACGCATGTCCATGTTAGCACTTCTACCAAGGGCAAGAGAGTAATGTTGGTAAATCCTAAGTACAGTAGTAGCAGTTCACACATATTTGATATGCTTTCACACAAGGATTCCATCAACAGCAATAAATAGAATCTCCTCTCTTAAAAAACAAAACAAAAAAGGAATTTACAGGGAAAGGTTAATTTACTTGGAGTTTATCAGCACACTTTTAGTGCCCTTTGAAAGAATTAAAACCATGAAACTGTATTCATTGAATACTGACACATAGTTCCATTTTTTTCCTTTTAGCTTGGCTTAAATACATACATCATGGCTTTCTATTAAAATCCTTAAATCTATGGGGGATTAGTGGCAGGTAAGACTATATTAAATTTTTCCTCATTAATAATTTCATTAAATTAAAGAAAATTCCGACATGTTCCTTGAGTGTGAGGTTGAAGCCTGATCTATGCTGCCATGTCCCTGGAAGTGAAGCTAATCTCCGAGTGAAGGGGAACGCCCGCGTGGCCGGTCAGAGCGTGGCGCTTTCCGTCCCTCATGATTCCTGGGGGGTCCTCTTCGCCGAGCCTTTTCCCTGAGTCATATATTTACTGGAAAGGCTACCTAGAGGGGGGGGAGAAAACAGAACTCAACATAAATGAAACAAACCTGACTTTATCTCAAAAACCATAAACATTCCTTTTCATTGTTGAGTTAGAGACTGTCCCACTCTGGAATCAAGCAATCAGGCTATACATATTCCAAAAAGTATACATATTTAAAAAGCAGATGAGAGCATGATTTGCTGACCAGAAGCTTAAAGACGAGTTGCTGTGGTGGCTGCACGGCTGCCAGTTCCATGCTGGTGTAGATAGTTAGAAGGACACAGCTTTCCCAAGATGCTGTTTTGCATACCAGTACAAAAGAGCAAAGAACTTTCTGGTCAGCAATGACTACCTTACATCGTTACTCTACAGGTACAACGCTGAGAATGACAATTATGTCATAGTAAGTCACTGATACATCAAAGGAAAAATATATTTAATGGATCAGGAACAGCAAGGATTACTAAAACTAAACCACAGAACCATTAATAAATTTTGTCCTACAGTCTGAATAAATATACCAATGAAAACTGAAGAGAACAGAAATTCTTAAGTGTATATAACAAACAGCCAGTATTTTATAAAGGTCGTATTTTAAATCAATGGGAGAAGTATGGGTTATCCAGTACCTGGTATTATGTTAATGAAATATTTTTGAGTGGGAAGGTTACTGTCCTTACATCACACCATTTCTTCATCCACTTCCAAATGAGTTACAGAATTTAAGTATAAAAGTCAAAGAAACAGTGAATACGTAATTATGAGGTAGGGGACAAGTGTTTCACCACCTTTGAGACATAAACAAGCAGAGCTGAACACCAGCAGGCGACCAAGTCAAGAGAGGAAATTTAGTACAGTCTGAATCTCTCCGAAGGTCTGCCTCTGCGGCAGGCGCTCGAGGTGGGGCCAGTGCTGCAGCATAGCTAACAGCCGTCGATGCCCGTAGCGCCAGCATCCCATCCTGTATGTGCCAGTCCACGTCCCAGGTGCTCCACCTCTGACACAGCAAATGTGCCTGGGAAAGCAGCAGAGGGCTGCACCCAAGTGGGATAGCCAGAAACAGCTCCTGGCTCCAGTCTGGCCCAGCTCCAACCACCATGAGCATTTGGGGAGTGAAGCAGCAGATGGAAGACTTCTGTTTCTCTCCTCCCACCCTACCCCCTCTACAACTCTGTTTTTCCAGTAAATAAATAAATCCTTAAAAAACATACTCAAGGGGAGCTACATCTGCTGGAGAACAAATCCTCTCTGTGATTATTCTCTGGACAGTACAGTTTAATGACTGTTTACATAGCATTTACACTGAGCTAGCTACCGATCTGGAGACGATCTAAACAACACAGCAGGATATGCTTTGCCTCGTACTAACAGTCCTAATACTGCCATCTCTTAAACAAGTAATCTGTTGTATTACAATTTAAGAAATGATACCTGAATTAAAATCTAAGAAATGACATGTGAATATCATATAAAATATTTATATGTTAAAAATATGAATGAACATTAAAATAAGTCAGGGAAAGAAGGTGAACTTCATAAGATTTGTAAGCATGATTTGAAACAACCCCAAAGTTGACTGGATCAAACTATTAACACAAACATACCAAAAAAGCAAACCTATCTATATGGTGAACAACTACAGCACCAAGACTGCTATACTGAGCTCAGTGGTAATGAAGGGCATTTTGACAAATCTGACAGTGCATCAAGGGATTCTAAGAATAAGTACAGAAAAGAAATATTCTAATATAAAAACAAGAAATACAAATGAAAATGTGAAAAATGTTGAGTTCAATAGTGATTACAGAAATTCAAGAGACCTGGCAAGATAAGGTTATCGTAATAAAATCTGGGCACGAGAAACAGGTTATCATTGATTCCCTGGGACTGCCGACACTCAGCGTATATAAATCTATCACTCCTTTTCAAAATTTTGCTTCTTTTCATAAAAGGACACCATGCACATGTCATTGTGTGGGCTGCCAGAGGTGAGAAGCCTGGAAGAGAGGCAGGGTGCTGGTAACTGCGGCAGGTATGAGCATTTCGAATGAAAATTCAAATGTCAGCTTCTGTAAAATTAGGATGACATTAAAATAACTGGCATTTTATAACAATATATCTTCATTTCCAATCTCTTAAACTATTGTTATTTTTAATTTGCCATCATAAATACTACTGGGATTTGTTAATATATGCCAAACACTAAGACAAAAGATTGGGAACAGCAAGGATTATTATTTCATGTAATACAGATCCAAAGATGTATGAATGCTTGGAGAAAAAAAAATTATTTTATTTGAAAGGAAGGTTTACAGAAAGAGAAGAGAGGTATCCTCTATTGGTTGGTTCATTCTCCAAAAGGCCATGATGCGCAGCTGGGCCTATCTGAAATGAGGAGCCAGGAGCTTCCTCTGAGTCTCCCACATGGGTGCAGGGGCCTAAGCATTTATGCCATCTTCTGCTGTTTTCTCAAGCATATGAGCAGGGAGCTGTACTGGAAGTGGAGTAGCCAGGATTCGAACCAGTGCCACCTTGCAGGTGGAGGTTTAACCTATATGCCATGGTGCCAACCACAGGTCAAATATGATAATTAAAAAAAGTCAGGGTCCTGCATTTTATATAGCAGGCTAAGATACTGCCTGCAACACCAGCATCCCAGTCCCAGTCCAGCTGCTCTTTTTCCGGTTCAGCTCCCTGCTAAGGTGCCTGAGCAAGCAATAGGGGATGGGTCAAGTATTTAAGCCCCTGCACCTGAACGGGATATTAGAGTGGGGTTCCTGGTCTTTGGCTTCAGCTTGGGCCATCTGATCGGTGAACCAGCAGATGGAAGATCTCTTTCTCTTTAAATGCCTTCCAGGTAAATACTTAGTTTTTAAAATTTCATTTGAAAGGCAGAGAAAGATAATTCCATCTACTGATTCATTTCTTTTTATTTGGGGGGTGGTATTTAATTTGTCACATTTACTAGCGTCTTTCCTAACAAAAGTTTCTTTTTTTTTTTTTAAATTACATTTTTGACAATCTTTATATAGCTAATTAGGGTAAAAAGGTTCAAGGGCTACAGGAAAGTGGGTAAGACTATTATTTCCATATTGTTTCCTTCATGTATCTGAGGTAAAGGGAGATATTAAGGGAGAAACCCCACCCAGTCTCCCACCCTCCCCAGGTCGCAGATGTGGGGCATGCTCTGAGATACTTGCTCAAGTTGTTTTGATAGTTCAACAGATCTACTGATTCATTTCTGAAGTGCCCAGACTGGGGTGAGAAAATAAACCTGGGTCTTCTATGTGGGCAACAGGGAATCAAGTTGTGTGTATTAGCAGGAAGCCAGAAAAAAGTTGGAGGAACTAGGATTTGAACCATGAACTCCAATATGGCATCTCAAAGATATCTTAACTGCTGTGCCAAAATCTGCCCATTTTAAAAATAAGATTTTATTTTTATTGAAAAGCCAGAAATACAGGGAAGAAAGAGAGGAAGATCTTCCATCTGATGATTCATTCCCCAAGTGACCACAATGGCTGGAGCTGAGCCGATCCAAGGCCAGGAGTCCGGAGTGTCTTCTGGGTCTCCCACGCAGGTGGCACGGTCCCTAGGCTTTGGGCCGTCCTCCACTGCTTTACCAGGGCACAAGCAGGGAGCTGTATGGGAAGTAGGTCGCCGGGATTAGAACTGGTGCCCATAGGGGATCCTGGCACATGCAAAGCAATGACTTCAGCCATCTGGCTATTGTGCCTGGCCCTGACCATTGTTTTTCAACATAAAACTGTGATAACATGAGGCAAAGTTTAGCCATGGACTTGACATGATAGCCTAGTGGCTAAAGTCCTCACTTTGCACACACCAATATCCCATATGGGTGCCGGTTTGCATCCCAACTGCCCTGCTTCCCGTCCAGCTCCCTGCTTGTGGCCTTGGAAAGCATTAGAGGATGGCCCAAAGTCTTGGGACCCTGCACCCACATGGGAGGCCTGGAAGTGATTTGCATTATTGTAGCAAGCTTTTTTTTTTTCTGCAGTAAAGTTTTGTAGTTGCTTAAAGTACTTTAAATATGTAGGTCTTTTACTCAAAGATAATTACAGAAATCCTGACTTACTGTCAACCAGTAATCCCATTTCTAGGTATATGTCCACTGTCTTTAATTTCCCCTACTTATTAGCTCTCAATATTCTTATCAGTCAGGTATTGTTAACCGCTTTTCACAGCTGAGGTAACTGAAGCAAGTGGAGACAGGAATTTTTTTTTCACAAAGCTAGCAGTCTTGCTGTCAGGCAATTCAAATGAAGCCCTTTACACCATTTTGCCTTGCCCCCGGAAAATGTATATTGTACCCAAGCATGGGTTAATATTTTTCCTGTGGAAAGTGTTTTGGAAATAAATGCTCAAAGCTGAAGCTTGTAAACATAGCCTCCTTCTGCCCTGATTTCTGTCTATGCAAGTCTTAGAGGATCTGGGGGCGGGGTTAAGGGCACCAGCTGTACTGGAGCCTGTTTCCCACACAGTCGCCTGCTGCAGTCACTCCCGGGTTGGATCTGGCCCAGCACTCTTGCTCACCGTTCATAGTTGCTCTCAAGACCGGTCGGTGCACTTCAGAGTAGGCTCTACTTTCACCTGACTTCTGGGTGGTGGAGGGTACCCCAGCAGAAATCTTTCATTCCATGTGTCCCCCTGAGAAGGATCACAAACTTCCCCAGGAGGCAGCTGCTCCTTTCGTTTTTCAGAGCCTGCTGCCTGCCTCTCTTTTGTGTACAGCATTCAGCTTTTTTGGTGTAAAACTGGCAATTCCCTGGAGATTCTCCCCCAAATTATCCAATCTAATTCATTCTCATTTCTTTTACATTATGCTTATAAAGACATCTGATGCCCACTTCAAAGGTTTTTCCCTATCAAAAAAAAAAAAAAAAAAAACAACCCACCCAGAGATTTTGCATACCTAAAAAATAAATGTGGACCTGGCATAGTAGCCTAGTGACTAATGTCCTTGCCTTGCATGCACCGGGATCCCATATGGGTGCTGGT